CCCTGCTAAACTGATGGGCACACAGACAGATTCTATAGAAAAAAAGAATGCTTTCCTGAAGTTTAAATTGAAATGAACTTCTCTTTTCTATGCTGTACAAATCTTCTGTATCTCTCTCTCTCTCTATATATATATCTTCTATATCTATCTCTATCTCTATATCTATAATAAAAGTGAATGTTTGTTTGTTTGTATGTATGTATGTATGTATGTATGCGGGGGGCGGAAGTGTATGTGGCAGCTTTTTGATTGGCTCTCACTTTCACAGGCCACAGAGACTTGCACGAGCGACGGACCTGGACCAAACTTGGCACACATAACCCCCATGACCCCCTATACATTCTGGTGAGGTATGGGAGAGGACAAAGGATGATGGATTTGTAGTACTTTCAACCCCTTTGGCTCCCACAGACCACTGTGCCCCCCAACAAAGACCGATAAAGACCAAACTTGGCACGCAGAGCCCCCATGACCCAATCTACTCCCTGCTGTGGTTTGGAGGAGGGCGGACCATGGATAATGGGACTTCAAGTACTTCAACTCACTTTCCTGAGACCGCTGCGACCATCACCCGATGACTGATCAAGACCAAACTTGGCATACATAACCCCCATGACCCCCTTTAGTTCCTGGTGAGGTTTGGGGGAGGCTAGACAATGGATGATGGGATGTGTACTACTTTCCAACCCTTCGGTTTCCACAGAACACTGCGGCCCCCAACAAAGACTGATAAAAACCAAACTTGGCACATAGAGCCCCCATGACCCACTCTACCTCCTGGTGTGGTTTTGGGGAGGATGCACCATGGATGATGGAACTTGCAGTACATTCACTCACTTCCTGAGACCACTGTGACCCACACCACTGATGAATCAGGATCAAACTTGGCACACAGAGCCCCCATGGTTCACTAGACATTCTGGTGCAGTTTGGAGGAGGATGGACCACGGGTGATTGGACTTGAAGTACCTTTACTCACTTCCTGAAACCACAGCAACACTCATACAGTTACCAAGACAGACCAAACTTGGCACAGAGAGCCCTCATGGCCAACTCAATACTGTGGAGCAGTTTAGGGAGGACGGACTACGGATGATGGGACTTGCAGTACCTTAACTCACTTTCTGAGACCACTGTGACCCTCATCCAATGACTAATCAAGACCAAACTTGGCACACAGAGCCCCCATGACCCACTCTACATCCTGGTGCAGTTTCAAGGAGGTTGGACCACGGATGATGGGACTTGCAGTACCTAAACACAATTTCTGAGACCACTGCAACCCTCACCAATGACTGATCTAGACCAAAATTGGCACAGAGAGCCACCATAACCCATCCAGGGACTGTGTGGAGGAGGATGGGTCATGCACGATGGGATTTGCAGTAACTTCACTAACTGATAACTGATAAAGAACACCTTTGCCACACAATTCCTTTCTCAAATAACCCAGGCAGTGCCGGGTCCCCAAGCTAGTTACCAATAAAGACCAAACTTGGCACACAGAGCCCGCATGACCCACTCTACATCCTACTGCAGTTTGGAGGAGGATGGTACTTGCAGTACCATCACTCACTTTCTGAGACCTCTGTGACCTTCATCCAATGACTGATCAAGACCAAAATTGGCACATAGACCTCTCATTTATGCCCTGGTGTAGTTTGGCCGGGGATGGACCATGGATTATGGGACTTGCAGTACCTTCACTCAAGTGCTGAAACCACTGCAACCCTCATCCAATTACTGATAAAGACCAAACTTAGCACACTGAGTCTCCATGATGCACTCTACATCCTGCTGTGGTTTGTAGGAAGATGCACCATGGACAATGGGACTTGCAATACCTACACTCCCTTCCTTAGACTATTACAACTGCCAACAATGATGGATCAGGACCACAATTTACACAGAGAGGCCGCATAACCCACTCTACAGGTATAGTTTGGAAGAATTTGGAGATGGATGATGGGACTTGCAGTCACTTCACTCACTTCCTGAGACTACTGAGACCCTCACCAATGACTGATCAAGACCAAACTTGGAACACGGAGCCCCCATGAACCACTCTACATCCTGGTGCACTTTTGAGGGGGACAGACCATGGATAATGAGACTTCAAGTACCTCCACACACTTCCCAAGACTGGAGCCCTCATCTAATGACCAATCAAGACCAAAATTGACACTCAGAGCTCCCATGAGCCATTCTACATCCTGGTGCTGTTTGGAGGAGGACGGACGATGGATGATGGGACTTGCAGTACCTTCACTCACTGCCTGAGACCACAGTGACACTAATCTAAATACCCACTCGACATCCTGGTACAGTTTGGAGGAGGATTGACCACGGATGATGGGACATGCAGTACCTTCACTCACTTTCTGAGACCACTGTGACCCTCATCCAATGAGTGATCAAGACCAAAGTTGGCACACAGAGCCCCCATGATCCACTCTACATCCTGGTGAGTTTTGGACAATGGATGATGGGACTTGCAGTACATTCCCTCACTTCCTGAGACCACTGCGACCATCATCCAATGACTGATCAATGACCCCAACAATAACGGACCTGGACCAAACCTGGCACACATAACCCCCATAACCCCCTTTACATCCTGGTGCGGTTTGGCTAAGGATGAACAATGGATGATGGGATTTGCAGTACTTTCAAACTTTTGGTTCCCACAGACTACTGTGGCCCCCACCAATGACAGATCAAGACTAAACTTGGCACACAGACCCTCCCACCCCTCCATGACCAACTTTACAAACTGGTGCTGTTTGGGGGAGGATGGACCAGGGACTATGGGATTTGCAGTACCTTCATCCGATTCACTTTCCACATCAGTCCCCACCAATCACAGACCTGGACCAAACTTGGCACACAGAGCATTCATGGCCCACTTTACATTCTGGTCCAGTTTTTAGAAGGATTAACAATGGATGATGGGATTTGCAGTACCTTCACTCACTTTCTGAGACTGCTGCGACCCTCATCCAATGAGTGATCAATACCAAAGTTGGCACACAGAGCCCCCATGACCCACTCTACATCCTGGTGTGGTTTGGGGGAGGATGAACCATGGATGGTGGGACTTGCAGTACCTTCACTCACTTCCTGAGAGCACTGAGACCCTCATCAATGACCAATAAAAACCAAACTTGATTCACAGAGCCCCTATGACCCACTCTACATCCTGGTGCAGTTTTTAGAAGGATGGAAAATGGATGATGGGACTTGAAGTACCTTCACTCACATCCTGAGACCACTGAGACCCTCATCCAATGACCAATAAAGACCAAAATTGACACAGAGCCCCCATGACCCACTCTACATCCTGGCACAGTTTGAAGGAGGATGGACTGTGGGTGATTGGACTTGCAGTACCTTCACTCACATCCTGAGAGCACTGCGACCCTCATCTAATGACCGATAAAGACCAAACTTGGCACACAGAGCCCCCATGATCCACTCTACACCCTGGTGCAATTTGGCAAAGGATGGAAAATGGACGATGGGACTTGCAATACCTTCACACACTTCCTGAAACCACTGCAACCTCCACCAATGAGAAATCATGATGAAACTTGCCACACAGAGACTCCATGACACACTCTACAACCTGGTGTGGTTTGTGGGATGATGGACAATGGATGATGGGACTTGAAGTACTTTCACTCACTTCCTGAAACCACTGTGCGCCCCAATAACAACTGATCAAGATCAAACTTGGCACACAAAGCCTCCTTGACCCGCTGTATGTCCTGGTGCTATTTGGAGGGGGATGGACCATTGACAATGGACTTGCATATGGGATTTGTAGTTCACACACTCCCACTGAACTAGCTCACATGGAATCTAGACTAAATTTGGATCACAGACAAGCAATGCCTTTCTCAAATGACCCGAGTATCGATGGGTGCCCAAGCTAGTATATAATAAAAGTCAATATTTGTATGTTTCTATGTTTTTGTGAGGCGGGAGGGAGGGTGGTGTATGTGGCAGCTTTCAGATTGCCTGCCACTTCCACAGGCCACTGCGACTTGCACGGATGACAGACCTGGACTAAACTTGGCACATATAACCCCCAAGACCCCCTTTATGTCCTGGTGCAGTTTGGGGGAGGATGGACAATGGATGAAGGGACTTTCAGTTCCTTCACTTACTTCCTGAGCCTACTGTGACCCTCATCCAATGACTGATCAAGACCAAATTGGCACACAGAGCCCCCACGAACCACTCTACAACCTGGTGCAGTTTGGAGGATGAACCACCGATGATGGGACTTGCAGTACCTTCACTCACTTCTTCATTGAAACCCACACCAATGACTGATCAAGATTAAACTTGGCATACAGAGCCCCCATGACCTACATCCTGGTGCAGTTTGTGACACGGTGGATCATGGATGATGGGACTTCTAGTACTTTCACTCGCTTCCTGATACCACTGCAACCCACATCAATGGCTGATCAAGACCAAACTAGGCACACAGTTTGGAGGAGGATGGACCATGGACAATGGGACTTGCATATGAGGACCTGCACCCACTGAACCAAGCTGACATTTGATCTAGACTAAACTTGCAGCACAAACAAGCAATGCCTTTCTCATATAATCCGGGCACTGCCGGGTCCCCAAGCTAGTATAGAATAAAATTACTGATAATAAAGTACACTCAAGTACAGGTAGTATATCCCACCTACCCTTTGTGCAAGGGACTTCAAACTGTTCACTCTTGCAAGTACTGAGTAAAGCATGAAGGATCTTCTGGTTTCAGCTGACTTTTAAAAATACACCTTGTTTTACTATGTTCTCTATCCACTTAATAGCTTCTAATGATATGTTTCTCACAATCCCTTCCAGCTTTAGTTTTTTCTAATACAGATTTTTACCTCATAGTTACTATCAGGCGAACCAACTCAGATATTATTTTTTAATTAAAAATAAATGCTAAAGACTAATCACAGACTAATCACAGTAATTGATGTTCCCACCTGACTGGAAGAGTTCTGTCACCTTTCCTTCGATCCATTTCTCTTTGAGGGACAGGATACCATCGGAAATTCAACTTCCAGTTAAATCCACCATACGTCATATCAGAACCTGCCATATATTCAAAGGTATCATCACTGATGACATCAATGATAGGACAAACCACTGTTCTCCTACAGAAAAAAATGGTACACATTGTTACAGATTAAAAATAATGACAATGTATTGCACTGTATAATATAGGACAACCTCATTTACATGCCGTTATCACAACCACATAATAACACCTTAGCAGTATTATAATCCTAAGCACATTTTCTAGAGCTAGTTCCGTGAAACGTAGTGGGTTTGTACATCTGAATATATGTGCCGACACGGAATACCAACTGCAGCAAGCAATATTTCAGAGACGGGACCTGACAAACCATCTCTGAGAATTCTTTGCCTAAGAAAGAATACATATACACATTGAATTATGCTGTTAATACACACTTTTTATACCTTCAAGTTTTAAATAATACTGGCATAAAGGAAAACTGAATGAACAATTGCCCATTTAAAACAGAATGCCAGATCGAAGAACAGTCAACCTCCTGCTGCATTCAGGAGAGAGGGTGAATATTTCTGTTACTGAATTTTAAACAATACAATTGTTTATGTGCATCATAATGCCCCATCCTTCCAAATATTTTGTATAATGAATGTATAATACTGATTTACAGGATGTAGAGATGAAAACCAGGTTGTAAACTTGAATATTTTAGAGCTTTTAATCAAACATTCCAAGATAACATGCATTTCCAAAACAGTTAAATAGGCATGGTCGAGTCAATGCTAAGCACTTCAGCAGAAAGTTCTATCAATTTTAGTTACTTCAACGGATCTTAACAATGTATATGGTGTTTAACTATGACCAGTTGAAGCATTAAAAGAAGAGCTCTTGTTGCAAACTCATGAAGAGCATATGAAATCATCAGTTGTTCTGTGTGTAAATTAAAAAATATAATATTACAGTATATCTAGCATACCCTACTGCACAGTAAAGAATGCTTTAGAGGGCAATGCTGCTTACTATATATTTTACTGATTCAGCAGTTTACATCCAAATTTAGCACATTGCATGTTTCTTGTGAAAACAGCATAGTAGCAAATGTATTTTAGATTAAGATAATAATATTTAAAACGTTACTTCATAAAACAAAGTACTGTATTAATGACCAGAAGAAGAGAAAGGGCACAGTGGAAGAACATTGGTAGGTTACTCACCTGTAACCATGTTTCTTCGAGTAGGCCTCTGTGAATCCACACTTATGGAGAATCTGTGCCTGCGCAGGTCCCAACGGAAAAACTTCCCAAGTTGAAACTTTTAACTTTTGGCGGTACCTCCACCCAGCCGTCCGCAGGGCATAAAAGGCGCCCCGTGCGCGCGCTTCGCCATACCTTATGCCGCATAGCGAGGAATAGGGGGAGGTTTGCAAGAGGGGACGGCCGGGCGGGTTAGTGTGGATTCACAGAGGCCCACTCGAAGGAACATGGTTACAAGTGAGTAACCTACCATTTTTCTTCGTGGCCTCTGTGAATGCACACTTATGGAAAGCTAGCAAGCTTAGGTCCCAGATGGCAGGAAGCAAACTGACACCATTTGAAGGACCAAAACATGTTTTATTAACATTTCAAAAATCTTGCACATCACATGTATATATCAAGTGTAACACAAGCATATACATATCTGTATACATCACCATGGTGTATAAGCGCATATACAACCAACAGGCAACACATCTCGCCTAAGATCTTGATATCAAGACAATAAAAAACTGGTAGGTACAATGGTAAACACATGTCCTCGGTTGAGGACAGAAAGACATTAAATGAGTCCAGCATTTAATGTCTTTCTAGGGATAACGAGCACGGGCGATGTGAATATCCAGTACATGCAACCATCATAATGTACATTGCAGGCATATAATATTGTAAGAACGTTACATAGAAGAAGACAGTACAATTTGCTCTCCTGAAAAAGGAGGGGAGAGCAGGATGTTAACACACAAACTTCTTTGCACCGTAACTGGTAGCGCAATGTAAGGGAAGAAAACCCCAGGAAAAAGGAGGGGAGAGCAGGATGTTAACACACAAACTTCTTTGCACCATAACTGGTAGCGCAATGTAAGAGAAGAAAACCCCAGGAAACCCGAGTGACTGTATTCAAAGGGGGCAAGTTGACAAAATTGCCCGACCGAAGGCGGTCTCTCTTCGAGACGGGGTGACCAGTCGATAATGGGAGATGAAAGTCATTGGGTTAGACCAAATGGCGCCTTACAGATTGAGTCCAACGGGATCCCCCGTAGGAATGCCTTTGTGGCAGCCATGGCTCTGGTCGACCTTGATTGAGCCGACGAAGGCGGAGGCTTACGTGCCAGTTTGTAGCAAAGTTCGATTGTCGAGGCAATCCACTGAGAAAGCCGCTGCGAGGAGAGTGGTATGCCCAATGTGTCCGTCGCATAAGCAACGAAAAGTCTGGGAGTCTTTCGTAAGGCAGCAGTCCTCTGCCTGTAAAACAATAATGCCCTCCGAACGTCCAGAGAGCCGGTAGAACTATGTCCTCATTGATATGGAAGGAGGACACCACTTTCGGTAGAAAAGTGATGTCAGTCCTTAGGACTACTCGGTCAGTATGAAAAAGCAGGTAAGGTTCTTTGACCCTTAAAGCTGCCAACTACGAAGGCCTACGGGCAGACGTGATAGCAACCAGGAAGGAAACCTTCCATGAGAGTAGCCGAAGATCTGTCGTGGCCAAAGGCTCAAAGGGAGGGCCAGTTAGCTGGGAAAGGACGATGTCGAGGCTCCATCCCGGTGTCGGTGGATGAACCGGCGGGTTGAGGTGATTGTAGCCTCTCAGAAACGTTTTGATGAGATGAGATGATTTCCAGTCTCTGGAAGTACCAGGAGATTGCAGTGACATAAGACTTTAAAGAAGCCAGGGTAAGCTTCTGGGTCGCTAGGGAAAGGAGAAAGTCCAAGACCGTCGGTATCGACGGTGGAAATTCAGGTATCGCTCGCTCCCGAAGGAACTCTCGAAGGTGCCCGATGTGGTATGCATACGCTCTCGATGTCGAAGGCTTGTGGGCCGCTTCTAGGATCGACTGGAGTTCGGGACCGAAGGATCCTAGAACGTTATCCTCCATGCTGCCAGATGTAGGGATGAGACGTCTGGGTGTAGAAGGAGGTCGTTCTCTCTCGACAAGAGATCTGGGCGAGGTGGCAATCTGATAATCCGAGAGTTGGAGAGTCTCAGGAGTACGGGAAACCACACCTGTCTTGGCCATTCTGGTGCAATGAGGATGCAGTTGGCCTGGGACATCTCGATTCTCTCGATCACTCGCAGTAGGAGAGGAATCGGTGGGAAGATGTATAGGAACTGAGTTGACCAGTCCAGCATGAATGCATCTCCTAGACACCCCGGAATGGCGTCTTGGGTCAGGTGGGCCCCGAAAAGGGGAAGCTGACAATTGTCTGGAGAAGCAAAAAGGTCGACCGTGGGAACGCCCCACATGTTGAACAGGGCATGAAGCTCCATCGTGTCGAGCTTCCATTCGTGGGATGTCGACGTTGAGTGACTGAGGGAGTTGGCCTGGTCGTTCAGGTGACCTGGAAGGTGAAGTGCCGATGGAAAAATCGCATGCTGGTTGCACCACTCCCACAGCGCTACGGCTAGCTTCAGAAGGTTTCTCGAGCCAGTGCCCCCCTGCTTGTTGATATAATACATGGCCACCATGTTGTCTGTTTGGATCTGGACCACTTGTTCTGTCAGGAGGGGCAGGAAGGCTTTGAGGGCCTTGAAAATGGCTAACAGTTCTAGATAGTTTATGTGGTGAGATTGTTCTTTTGGGGACCACACATCTTGTATGGAGAAGTGGCCTGTGTGGGCGCCCCAGGCAAACATCGACAAGTCGGTTGTGAGAACGGCTGATGGCTGTCTCGCATGGAAGGGAAGACCTATGCAGACGTTTCGATGACTCCTCCACCAGTCCAGGGAGTGTTGAAGTGTGGTCGGCATCGACAGGAGTTTTGTTTCAGTGTCTCGACAGGGATCAAAGTTGTCGAGGAACCAACGTTGTATGGGGCGCATCTTGAGACTGGCAAACGGTGTGACCATTACCGTGGAAGCAATATGTTCCAGGAGAATTTGGACTTGGTGTGCCTTGAGTTTGGAGGGGAAGAGGCATCGTGCGATCTCGCACTGACTGGTGGGAGGGACACCCTTTCTCTTGTTGAATTGAAGTCGACGCCTATAAACTTTATCGATGTCGTCGGTGTAAGGTGAGATTTTTCGGCATTCAACTGTAGGCCGAGCTCCTGCAGCAGGTTGAGGGTGAAGGCGATCTGATCCTGGAGGTCTGATGATCTTGAGGCCAGCAACCAGTCGTCCAGGTAAGGAAAAATGCGGATTTTCCTTCTTCTGAGATACGCGGTGTGAAGATCCCTTACCTTGCCAGCCAGGGTGGCAGGGCCCAGGAAGAGACAGGCTAGGTAGTTTCAGCTTAGAAGGCCTGGCAGAGAGCTGCTGGAGCCATCTTAGTTTAGGGAAAAGCTCCAGTTCAGAGAGGGGGAGTGGCCTAGGCCTGAGCCAGCCCAGCAACAGCCAGGATTGGTTTGGAAAAGAGGGGCGGAGTTAGCCAGATGGAGGGAAAGAGAACAGATAATTTTGGCAGTTCAGTTCAGTTCTGAGTAGAGTAGAGAGCAGTTCAGTTCTGAGAGGTTAGAGCAGGATTTGAAAGTTTTAGGAGTCTCTGTAAAGAATAGGCAGCTTGCCTGTAGTTTGCACAGCAAAGTAGGCTGTGGCAGACTGAGTTACAGCTATTTTAGAAAAGAAAATAGCTGGGTTTTGTGTTTAAGAAATTGTAACAAAGGAAAGAACCATTCTCTCAAGTAACCATTACGCTTATAAGAACCAAGAACACTTTTATTTGTAACAGCCAAGCCTCTGAACCTGCATTCACTTTTAATTCTGTAACTTGTAATCAATAAACTCTTTCTTGTTATTTTTAAAATTGAAGCCTGAGTCAAGTGCCATTTTTGGTTGGAGTCATTTTCCTTGTTGAATCAACCTCTCCTGTTTTCCCCTCAAAGAAAGCCCTTGATAATACACAGCATTTGGTGGAGTAAAAAGCCTTTTAATAATTTAAACAGCCTTTTAGCATTCTAAATAGCTAGAGGGTTCGTGTTTCTTTAGTTTATGGTGGCAGCGAAGGTCTTAAGTAAAGAGACATCCCCTCAAACACTATAAGAGCCAAAGTGGTGTGAATTCCTTATTGAAGGAAAGACAGTGGTGGGATTTCTTTGTTCCACCCTGCCCAGATATCTCTCTAAGACCTTTATACGCGGCAACCACGGACATGCATTTGGTAAATGTTCTGGGTGCCGTCCCGAGGCTGAACGGGAGGACGGTAAATGAGAAGATCTTTTCCTCTATCTTGAAGGAGAGAAACCTTCTGTGGCCTTCCCGGATGGATAAATGGATATATGCGTCTTTTAAGTCTATTGATGCAAAAAAGTCGATGAAGCATGGGGATAATTGACGATACCGTCACCATTCTGAACTTGGCCGGTTTTATGAACTTGTTCAGTGCCCTGAGATCGAGGATTGGTCGGAGAGAGCCGTCCAGCTTTGGTACTGTAAAGTACCTGTAGAAGAAGGCACAACCGTCTAAGCGAGATGGACACCTTCGGATCGCCCCTTTTTTCCAACAAGGAGTCGACTTCTGCCAAAATCGGGGGAGGTAGGTCGGTTCGAACAATAACTCCGGTTGGAGGTAAGTCTTTGAACTGCAACGTGTAACCGTCTCGAATAATCTTTAGCACCCATGCATCGGATGTGATGTGGTGCCAGGCATGAATGAAATTTTTTTAGACGATCTCCAAACTTGGCAGGATTGTCGATCACAGTGTTGAGAAGGTGTAGCAATGAGGGCAAGGTGGGCATGGCAGAAATAATGGACACGGATTCGGTATCGTCGGGGAAGACGTCAAACCCGACGTCTGGAGTTGCCATTGGTCTGAGTTTGACGAGACCGGGCCCTTTGGGGTTGTTGCGCTCGGCGTTGTTGTTGCTGGGGCTGAGCCTAAGCTGCAGGAAGTGGGCGAAGACTTTGCCTCGTCGACTGGTGACGATAGGATCCGAAGCGGCATTGGCGGTATCCATACCACCGTGTACGCTGGGTTTGTGGATGAGTCTCGACACCACACTTCGAAGCAAGTATTTTGTAGTCCTGGTTTGACTTTAGCTTATCGTCCGTTCCAGCGTTGAACAAGCCGAGGGCATCGAAGGGAAAATCCTCGATGACTTGGCGGGACGACGAAGACAAGCCAGAGGAACGCAGCCAGGAGTGTCTTCAGATAGCTATGGTATGGGCTATCATCTTGCCCGCAGTATCGCCGGTATGCTTAGCCATCTGCATCTGATGGTGAGCCAGGGAAGTCGCTTCCTGAGATAACACAGAAAGGACTGCTCGATCTTCATCAGACAATTTTGCCAGAAAGGGTTGGGCCTTTTCCCATATGATCTGCTGGTAGGCCCCCATACAGGCTCCATAGTTGGCCATTCTTGCCAAGAGGAAGGCTCCCGAATAGTTTTCTGCCCACAGCATCAAAACGCTTTCCTTCTCGGTCCGAAGGGGTGTTAGACTGACTTTCGGACAGAGCTGCTTTGACAACGATGGAATTAGGGTCTGGGTGGTGCTTGAGCCATTCTAACCCTTTGTCGTCGGTACGGTACCAGGCTTCGATGCGCTTGGACGTCGGTGGTATCGAGGAAGGAGTTTTCCAAGATGCCTGTATTACTTCCAGCAGATAGGGGAGAAAAGGCAGGAGGGGGGGGCGGAGGCGCTTCAGACTGGACCCTCTTAAACACAGGATCGGTCACAGCCTTGGACGTTTGCTTGACCTCGAGACCGAGAGTCTCAGCCATCCTGGCCATCTGGTTGGCGAAAGCTCGAACGTTGTAGGTGGGTGATGGAGGGTCTGCCTCATAAGCGTCGTGTGTCGGCGATCTCTCGATGCCGAGGGAAAGAACCGACTCTGAATGGATCGAGCCTTCGATGTCTTTGTCTTGGTCGTCCTCAGATGCGTGAGGAGACGAAGAAGGTTGTCTGGAAGCAGCTGGAAGCGGCCTAGCAACTCCCACTGGAGATGATGGGGGAGGAGGCTGCTTGGAAGCTGAGGCCTGGGCAGCTCTAGCCAATCACGTAGTTTGGTGCCCACTCTCTGGTGTTGACGGAGGCGGGAAGAGTTCTTGCTGCGCGGTCGAACGTTGCTGAGGGAGTTCTATCACGGTCTGAACCGATTGCTCCGGTGAGACGTGGGCCTCTACCTCAGGTTGAACCTTTGGTGTAGGCTCGATCGAGAGAGGTTGTTGCTGGGCCGGTTGAATTGGCGACGATCACGACGAAGAAGTCGCCGAGGAGGTCTGAGCCACTCTTCTCAATGACGAAGAGGAAGAAGAGCGCGGTTGGGCCCTTTTCTTAGCTGGAGGCTGCGAGGATTGAAGGGATTTCCCCGAGGTTGGGGGAACCGCGGGCAGAGTTGATTTGGCCCGTCTAGCCTCCTCATGTGATCATTTGAAAGCAATTCTCATGGGCGAGGTCGAAGGTGGAGTGGCGGAGTTCGACCTTGTTGATCGGACCGAGGCCACAGAACTCGACGTGGACGGATGCCTCGCCGGCACTGTTTGCGTTGTGAGGGTGCATGGTTGTTTAGCTTGGCGAGGTCTTCTCGACGCAGCAGAGGCCACCGAGGCCGGTCTAGTTGGTCGGGAGGCAGACGATGTTGAAGGAGCAGCTGACGGTTGAGACATCGCGGCTGTCGACGTCGATGGCTGAGGGGCTAAGGTCTGTCCGTAAAGCAACACCTTCAGCCGAGCTGCTCTATTCTTTCTTGATTGTGCCGTGATGGCCTGGCAGTGTCGACAAGTCGAAGTATTATGGCCCTCACCGAGGCACCGGAGGTACTTTGAGTGCTTATCTGAATCAGGCAGTTTTCTCGAGCATTGAACACAATGCTTAAATCTGGTCGTTGACATAATAGGAAATTCCGAGCGGGACGTGCGGCGGAAAAAACAGGAATGGCGGAGTGCGCGCGCAGGTCGCCTTTTATGCCCTGCAGGTGGCTGGGCGGAATGACTGCCAAAACTTAAAAGTTTCAACTTGGTAAGTTTTTCCATTGGGACCTGCGCAGACGCAGATTCTCCATAAGTGTGCATTCACAGAGGCCATGAAGAAAAATACACGTTGTTTGCATCCAAACACTCTGTTTTAATCTTTATGTCTACAGTAGACCAAGGAAAGTCTCTTATCTGATACCATTCAATAGCTTTCTATTATGTTTGCTTTCCAGATAAATGATAGAAAGCAAATGCAACTCATAACAACATTAATAAAAGTGTAGAGTGTCTGAAATTTCTGACTCATTAGTATAGCTTACACTTGCCTAAAATGTGAAAACTATCATGTTGCCCACCTCATCTTCAATTAATCATTTTGTAGGCACCTCTTGACTACAAATTCCCCAAATGTTAATGATTTACATAGTGTACCCACTTCTTCCAAGGATTCCAGCTTTGCAAAAACAGTTTAGCTGAATTAGTAAATATTAACCTTCAATATGTTTTATAAAATAACCACCTGTCAGCTTTTATGCGTGCTAACAGAGGCTCGAGCCATCCTACTGTGCATTCACAATGAGCATCTAAAAAGGTAATGACTTGGCCCTTAGAAGCAGCAGCTCCTTTCAATCTGGCTCTGATTAGTCCAGAACGCTGCTCCATTCGAATCACGTGGACTGGTATTTGTAACTTTTTCACATAGTTCTCCAAGAGTCTCTTCAAGAAGTCTGAAAAATATGAACAAACAAATGGGGACAATGTATCACTAACATAACAAACGCAATAAATGGAATCTTATGTTGGATTCTGTCCAAAGGACATCTTTTACAAAAGAGCTTTTCAAAAGTTCAATTCATCTATTTACAGGGCAATCCTGCATTTCTATTTGTAGGTAAATATCCCTGTTCAGTAATTTCAGGTAATATGCCTAAGATTACAATTGCAGGTCCTAAATTTCTAAAGATAAAATCAAATTTGGATGCATGGACTTAAAATTACTTTGAAGTACTTGACAGTACTAAAATACCCTCTAAATCAATGGTTCTCAATCTGGGGTCCCCAGATGTTTTTGGCCTTCAACTCCCAGAGATCCTAACAGCTGGTAAACTGGCTGGGATTTCTGGGAGTTGTAGGCCAAAAGCATCTGGGGATTCCAGGTTGAGAACCACTGCTCTAAATAGTCATTTAAAGAGCAGTGAAAAGAAAGCAATATTAATAGTATCTTAGGCCTTTTATTATTATTAGAAGGATTAAATACAAGTTTAGTTAGCTCTTAAATGCATTATAAATGCTAGCATTTTCTGCATTTAGTATATTTCAAACATTATTTTCTAGTCTTCAAAAGAAAACACATCCATTTAGGCCTAAATCCAATCTTCAGTACCACCAAGGGAAGATTCAATGAATCAATGAAACCTATGCAAGTATTGATATATCAAGTTCACACTGACTTAATGGGCTTATTTTTGTTGCAATTAACATTTGTATTTCGCCTTTTTAGTACAGATCTTAACATCAAATTTGTCTGTACTGTTCAGTAATCCTAATGCTTCTTTGACTGAAGCGAATTTCTCCACATCTAATAAGAACATTGTTCTACAAATTTCCATGAAAACACTCTTAATTATGTTCAGAGGAGGTTATGTTCTCTTAATTTAAAAATAACTTGTTTTGTATCATAAACTTCTGATTTTTTTTCATGAAAACAATACATGATTGCATGTGAAAAATGTATATGGAAACAATTCATTAACATTTTTATAACAGGCATGGGGAAAGTAAAGACTGCACTTTGAGTCATTCCACAAAGCCTTTTTGCCCACTCATTTAAAAAAGTTTTTTATCAAACAAACAAATGCTTAACCAAACCCCAAAACTTGGCAGTTAGGCTTATTTTATCTCTTACATGACAAATGGGTACAAATGCTTCAATATCTTGGCTGTTATAGAAAGTTGTGTCTTAAAAGCGTGATGGTTACAAGAATGGTTCTATCTTTGTTACAAAAGAGTTTCTTCTCTCCCTCCAAACAAAACAAGAATCCCAACAGGACTGTGTCTTTGCCAGAGATTCTTCAGTAGCCCAGATAAATCTAGCCTGATTCTACCCTGCTACTACCCAGCTATTCTCCTAATAGCTGTCAGTTTGCTTTAGCTAACCTGCTGGCAAACTTCTGGCTAAGCCTTTGCCTTTTCTTCTAACCCTTAACACCAAACTCCTAAACACCCCTTCTCTTCAAACCCCAAACTCCCAACTCATCTCTCTCTAGCACACAAGCCTCATTCCCCTTTCTAAAACGCTCCTTTTTTCCCTCTCAGCTTCTCTTAAATTCCGCCCCCTTTTTCTCTACCAATCCCGGCCATTCCCTGCTGTCTAAAGCCTAAGACACGCCCCCCTCTCTGCAACTTTCTAAGATGGCGTCTTCCCTACTCTAAAATGGCCGCTGATGCTTCGCCTTGCCCATTACTTATCCTTCTAGACCTACAGGCTTTTCCAGGCCCTGCACCCTGGCTTCTAATAAGGTAAGGGTTCTTTACACCCGCCTCTTAGGAAATCTGCTACAAAACAGGAGCTTCTTTGTTAAGCTCCAGGGCCAAAGAAGCAGATGGCAAAAACAGAAAAATGGCCTGCCTCAGGGGAGCATGCATGCTCCATCAGTGTTCAACATTTACACAAATGACCAGAAGAAGCCACTGCCAGAAGGGACAGAGAGTTTCATCTATGCTGACGATCGTGCCACCACCACTCAAGCAGAGAGCTTTGAGAGTGTTGAACAGAAGATCTTCAAAGCTCTAGGTGCTCTTACTGCCTATTACAGGGGAAACCAGCTGATTCCTAATCCATCTGAAACACAGACGTGTGCTTTCCATCTTAGAATCATAGAATTATAGAGTTGGAAGAGACCTTATGGGCCATCCAGTCCAACCCCCTGCCAAGAAGCAGGAAGACTGCATTCAATGCACTTAAGAACAGACAAGTATTTCGAGCTCTGAGGATTACCTGGGAAGGAATCCCACTAGAGGACTGCAGCACACCCAAATACCTGGACCGTTCTCTGACCAACAAGAAACACTGTCTGAATATCAAGCAAAAAGTGGGTGCTAGAAACAATATCATAGGAAAGCTGACCAGCAGAACCTGGGGATCACAACCAGATACAGTGAAGACATCTGCCCTTGCGCTTTGCTGCTGAGTATGCATGTCCAGTGTTGAACACATCTCACCACGCTAAAACAGTGGATGTGGCTCTTAATGTGACATGCCGAATTATCACAGGATGTCTGTGAGAAATTATACTGTTTACCTTACATTGCACAACTTGACATCCGCCAAGAAGTAGCAACCAACAGAGAAAGGACCAAGACAGCGACAGCGATAGTGACAGCGATAGCCCATCGGCTATCAGCCAGCACACCAATGACTTAAATCAAGAAATAGTTTTTCAAGATCTAGAGACACCCGCAAGAACATCTCAGCAAGTGAGAGTCCAAAAGTGACAGACTAAAACCCAGACTCTAAATCCATGGCTTTTTTTTGTGTTAAAAGCAACTTGAGAAACTGCAAGTTGCTTCTTGAGTGAGAGAATTGGCCATCTGCAAAGATGTTGCCCAGGGGATGCCTGGATGTTTTGATGTTTTACCGTCCTTGTGGGAGGTTTCTCTCATGTCCCCGCATGGGGAGCTAACAGAGGGAGCTCATCCATGCTCTCCCGTTTAGAACCTTCGACCTGTCGGTCTTCAGTCCTACCGGCACAAGGGTTTAACCCACTGTGCAGCCGGGGGCTCCAAATCCATGGCTGACACCAAATGAGAGACTCCCTCCTGGGCACACAGAAAACTGGACAACTTGGAAGGTGCTGAACAGACTGTGCTCTGGCATCAAAAGGTGCAGAGCCAACCTTAAGAAATGGGGTTACAAAGTGGAGTCCACGACATGCGAGTGTGGAGAAGAGCAAACCACAGACCACATACTACAACGCAACCTGAGCCCTGCCACATGCACAATGGAGGACCTCCTTATAGCAACACTAGAGGCACTCCAAGTAGCCAGGAACTGGTCAAAGGACATTTAATATAATGCCAAGCTTTCAAACTATGTGTTTTTAAAAATAAATACAATACATCTGTACCCTTGGCTCGCTCCTAAAACGATAAATAAAAAATAAATCTCTTACAAATCTAGAACAGATGCCACATGACATTACATTTTGCTAATGTAATGCTCCATGCAGTCATGTCAGCCACATAACCTTGGAGGTGTCTACAGACAACGCCGACTCTTCGGTTTAGAAATGGAGATGAGCATCAACCCCCAGAGTCGAACATGACTGGACTTAAATGTTGGGGAAACCTTCACCTTAACTTTAAGTATTTGTTTATTTATTTATGCCATTTCGACCCTGCCTTTCTCCACCCCAGAGGGGACTCAAGGCGGCTTTACAACATAGGCAGTTATTGGATGTCATTAAAACAATATAAAATTACAATAAACATTTAAAAATATGATTATAAAATACATCAGAACATTTAAAGCATTAACCAATATCTTAACTGTTAAACCACTCTATTCATAATCGTAATCCGGGTGCTTTTTGAGTCCAAGACACCCACCTATGGCTGTCCCTGAGAAGGGAGAACATGGCATACAGACATAACTAGCATCATAAACAAACCCAACATCATCAGTCTGGGTTTGACAGCTGCCTGGATAACCAGGAGAGGAGCAACATATGCAAAATTAACACCCGGTACACCTGAAATGCAATGGACTCTCAGCAGTCAATAGAGTTCCTGGAGGGCAGGAGGAAAGAACAGATCGGCCAAAGGCGGTTCCTAGTGTCCAATCTATAATGAGAGACAAAAGTCAAGGGATTGGACCAAATGGCTACCTTACATATAGAGTCCAGGGGAATGCCCTTTAGAAAGGCAGTCAAAGTTGCCATGCCTCTAGCCGACTGGGCCCGGCCGGCAGGGGCCAGTGGTGGGCCAGTTCATAACACAGTTCAATGGTCGACACAATCCAGTTGGACAAACGTTGGGACGAAACTGGCAGATCCAGCTTGTTCAGCGCATAGGCTACAAACAGCCTTGGAGTCCTATGGGACCGAGAAGTTCTGTCCCGGTAAAACAGGGCCCTCCGGACATCAAGGAGATGTAGTCTCCTCTCCGTCGGGATGGACGGAGTCTGGAAGAACGATGGAAGGACAATGTCCTCATTTACATGAAATGGAGAGACCACCTTTGGCAGAAAGGAAATGTCCATGTGGAGAATTGCTCTGTCCGAATGAAAAGGCAAATAAGGTTCGTCGACCCTCAACACCGCAAGCTCAGAAGGACGGCGGGCAAAGGTGATTGCCACTAAAAAGACAACCTTCCAGGATAGCAGCCGAAGGTCAATCGTCGCCAACGGCTTGAACGGTGGTGCCACCAGCCGGGAGAGGACCAGATCGAGGCTCCAACCAGGGGTTGGGGGATGGACTGGAGGGTGTAGATTGTTGTACCCTTTCAGGAACGTTTTCACCATGGCACTGTGGAACAGGGATGTCCCTCCGCACTGCTGGATGTGTCAGGAGATGGCCGCCAAGTAGGACTTCAGCGATGACAGGGACAGGTTGCGCTCAGCCAGGGAGAACAGAAACTCAAAGATTGTCGGTATTGATAGTGGGAAGGACTGGTTACCTCAATCCCGAAGAAATTTCTGGAACCGAGCAAAATAAGAAGCGTAGGCCTTGACCGTTGCCGGCTTGTGGGCTGACAAGATGGACCGCATGGCCGGTCATAGCACCGTCAGAGCTGGATCCTCCATGTCATCAGGTGGTGTGGCAGGAGACCCTGTTCTCTCATGAGGTCCTGCCGCGGAGGAAATGCCCACTACCGACTCTTGGAAATCTGCAGGACTGTCTCGGCTACACTGGGGCCACCAAGATGCAATTTGCCCAGGACATCTGGATCCTCTCGACCACTCTGAGGATTAGAGGAAATGGAGGAAAGAGGTAGAGGAATTCCTCCGACCAGTCCAGAAGCAGCGCATCTACCATCGAAGAGACTTCCGTACTGACATCAGCATCGAGAGGACTTTGGAGCTGCGATCGCGAACTGGGTTGAAGTGGTCAAGAAACCATCACTGAATCAGAGCCTGGCCAGTGGGGTCACAATGACTGTAGACGCCATGTGGCCAAGGAGCACTTCAATGTGCTTGGCCGTAGATGTCCGGGCCTGTCTGCACCGTCGAACCTTGTGCTGAAGGGCTTGAAACCTGGCCTCGGGAAGGGAGAATCTGAGTCCGTGAATTGAACATGGCACCGATGAATTTTATGGTGGTTGTTGGAGTCAAGTGAAACTTTTACGTATTTAATTGCAGGTCAAGGCCTACCATCGAAGAGACTTCTGTACTGACATCAGCATCGAGAGGATGCCTTCTGCCTCCCTTTCTCTGGAGTAGACGTCGCCGGGAAGAGCTCTTGTCTGGCAGAAGTCACATTCAGTAGAGGTTGTTGCTGAACCTGCACCAGGCTCGACTGACACCACTGGAGACCAGGAGCTCCTGAGGGGTGTGTTCTGTTTGCTGGTCATCCTGAGATGGCTGCACCAGTGGATCAGAGAGGATCTTGCCGACGAGGTGGCCGAAGAGAAAGTAGTAGCTTTCCTTGAGGAAGACAAGGAAGAAGATTGTGGCAGAGCCCTTCTCTTTGCCAGCGGTTGAGCTGAGGCCGCCGTGAGAGACTTCCCCAGGGTTGGTGGGACCAAAGGCGCCACTGTACTCACCTGGCAAGATTCCTCATGCGCCCTTTTGAATGCGATTCGCATTGCTGTAGAAGATGGCGGCACAGCTGCAGCCGACCTTGTGGATCACGTTGAGCGAGCAGACGCTATCGAGCTCGCAGTGGATGATTGCCGGGCCTGTACAGTTTCAGTCATTACTGTACATGGCTGTTTGGACTGCCTCATTTGCCTTAAGGATTTCGACACTGTCGACATTGTCGAGCGAGATTTTGATGGCGGTTTCTTCTCCTTCGAGGTTGAGAGGGCTGAAGAAGTTGGGGCCGCCGAAGTCAATGCCGAGGTCGACACCGAGGGTGGAGCTGTTGACACTGATGTCAAAGGGGCCAAGGTCTACTGATACAAGAGATTTTTTCCCCTTGGTGGAGAGAAAAATCCGTCCCTAAAGAAGGGAGAGAGGGAGGTCCACAGGGTGCATCTGCACTGTGGAGTGAAGGCAGTTTGACCTACTGGAATGGCCGTGGCTCAAGGCAATGAAATAGGTACACGCCTTGGCAGAGGAAACTTCAAAAACTCTCACCATGGTCCAGCATGGATTAGACAGTGCAGAATAGATGCAGCCCGGGCGTGAGGGCGAAGGAACAACACACACAGTCTCGCGCATTTCTCGTAGGTGGGGTTTAACCCAGCTCTGGTCCAATTTGAGCCCTCCCTCTAGGTGTTTTGGACTTCAACTCCCACCATTCCCAACAGCCTCAGGCCCTTTTCTTTTCCCCCTCAGCCGCTAAAAGGGGCCTGAGGCTGTTAGGAATGGAGGGCGGCTGGCTGAGGAGGCCTGCGCGGGGAAAAGAGGTCTGAGAGCGCACGCGCTTGGCTCTCAGTGCTGTAATGGCCGCTATTCCTTTGTTTAGATTTTTTGGGGTTAGTGCTGTTTCTTTGGGGGTTTTTTTGAGTGGAGGACATAAATTGGACTGTTAGGTGTCTTGTGTCCAAATTTGTTGTCAATTCCCCCAGTGGTTTTTGAGTTCTGTTGGTAGCACAAATGAACATTATTTTTATTTATATAGATTTGTTCTGTCTCACATCAATCTATATATACTACTTTAATCATATTTATCTGCCTCTTCGTTATGGCATATGTTATTCAGTTGCTTTTAAAATGTCAACTGGTGTCTTAAATGTTCAACAAACCATTTTTCAATTAAATGTCATTTGAAAAATGCATATTTTGAGATGTAGGTATGAATAAAAAAATTAAAATGAATCCATCAAAACCGGACAAGCAGGTGCTCATGTTACATTCTCAGAGACTGCTGTTAACATGGCATCCAAGCCAGAGCAGATCAGAGCAAATGCTTCACAGCGGGTTGCTGAGTTGTGAACTTCTGAAAAGACAAATATTCTTGGATGATTCGTTACTTGAGCATGGTAGGGCTTTTTAGTGTTTGATAGCAATACAATCACTACCCTCAAACCTGTTCAACACTTATGATTCTACCTTATCCGCTTAGCCTCAAAGTATTTTTTTAATTACTCTGTATTTTTTTTACTCTTTTAAAAAAGGTAGGTTTCTCATAATTCTTACTTTTAAATGGATGAGTAAACTTTACTTAAGACGCTGTTCAGGACAATTTCACAGGTGGCAGAAAACATAGATGCACTGTAATTATTAGAATTACAAACACAGATTTAAAAGTCATTTAGAGGTTCAATAGTCATGATTTAATTAATATTAATTTCATGCATTTATGAGCACTAAGAGGACCCTAGGCTCCTTAAGGAGCATGATTTAGCTTAATACATGCAGACCAATCTCTATTTCAACATATGAATCGTATGATGTGGAAACAACTGTTTCTAATCAAGGGATTCATTACGTGAAATACATTTATGGCTATATGCAAAAACTTCTTTTGGACAGAGATATGCTGAATAATATATTCTAGTATATTACAAGCAAGGTACACTAAGATCTCATACTATTTTGTGGTACAGCCTCAAGAAAATGCAAGTTACTGAAATAGTGTTAAAACATATTTAAAGAATAACCATGCCCATACTCCCAATATTTATTCAGAAAAGCAATTCTTGCTTCTGGTATTGAAGTCACAAGTAAAATTTTTATACAGGAACACATACATGTATAGCAAACAGCCAGTATTAAGCAGCTCTATATCAATGACAATGGAAGCCTGTATTTGAGCAGGATGCAGAAATGGTATACGACAAAATCTCTCACCTCTTTCACTAGCATCGTCAACTAAAATGATTTCTTCCAGCATGTGCCTGGGTGACCGGTTTATGACACTATGAACAGTTCGTAAAAGAGTACTCCAAGCTTCATTATGGAAGACAATGACAACACTTGTTGTAGGAAGGTTATCTGGATACACCTTTGTCTTACACCTGAAAATATATAAAGGAAGCACAGCAGTACGTAACATATTCTATATAGACAGCTTGCTTACTTATTACTGATGTTCTTTGAGTGATCATCATGGGTCTTGGATCTGCACAGACTTTGTGACTTCCTGGCTAGCAAGGTATTTGGTAGTAGCTCCAGCCTCTCATCTTAACACATATGCTCCAACAGCCATTTCCCCAGTTCCATATTGTCTTGTAAAGTGGTAGGAGTGGAAAACAGTACCAGATGTGCCAATGAGAGGATAAGGGCATGTTGTGTTGTATGTACACTTTAAAAAGCATATGTTATGGGAATGCAACCTATACTGTTCCTTTATGTTTTCCACACATCACACTCATGGGAAGAGCTTAACAAGGGAGAATGGGAGGATATGCATCAATTGAAAATGGAAGACAGGATGTCTCTCTCAAAAATTGCATCAGTTTACATCTTTACGCCCAGGTGATCATGCTGCAATAACATTGATGAGTGAGTTCAACTTGTGGTCTAGCAATTACAACAGGAATCGCAATAAAGATTGCAAAACTAGGTTTCTCCCAAGGCCAATTGCTAAGCATGAGATGGGACCAAGCCAAAGATCTCATTAAGCAATGGATCCTGGACATAGAGTGCCAATCGGACCTAGACCCATCCCCAGCCTTTATTGTTAGTGAAGCCAGTAGATACCTCACCGCCCCCATGGCATACATTACGGACCTGGAGGTGTCCAAAGGGCTTTTACCCTAGCAAGATGCCATGCCCTTCCATCGGCTATATTGGAGGGGAGGTATCGGAAGACCCCCTTCAAGAAGAGATTATGACCACATGAGTCCAGACACACAGAAACAACTGAGCATGTACTCCTTCAATGCATGTTCTGCAGAGATCTTACAACTAATCTCACTAGTTTTTGTTTCTCCTTTTGTTTGTGTCCCACTTTTATCTGTGGTGGAGGCGGCCGGCCAGTGGGATCCCTTTGCCTTCCCGCTTTTTTCCCTTCCCCTGATGTTGTAAAGAGTGAATGTTTGGATGCATGCAGAGGAACAGAAGAAACAGGCCTAAAGAAGATAAAAGGAAAACCAACATGGAGTTCTCGCAAGGCATGATATGGGATGGCCTTGGCAGTCGAAGCGAGGAAGCAGCAAGGCATAACTGAATGACAATGAACAATAAGGTTTGCGGTCAAGCAAGTAAGGAGTGTGCAGGTGTACCCCATAAGTCATGAGGCCTGGAATGTGAATATCTTGAACTTTGGAAAAGAACAAGGACTTGAAAGGAACAGAACAACCTGATTATTAAAAAGAAGAAAATGGATTTTTGCCTATAAATGCAGGGGAGACCAAGAAGATGCACGCTTCCTGATCCATGGTAATGGAGCATCCGCACCTTCTCGTAAAAGACTGATCATCTTTGCCGGAGGAGGCCTGTGTGTGCGTGAGTATGCGTGAATGTGTGTGTGCATGAGAGCTTTCCCTTGATGTGATTCTGATATGATTCTGTGATGACTGTATTTCAATAAATGTTATATGAATAATGTCAAAACCAAATTTGGTCTCAAATTTGGTCTCCCTTACTATTCCTTGAACATTCTGCACAAAAGAACAGGAACCTCTTTGGGTTCATAACAACGTCTCTGGAAAAAAAGTGAACCAAATACTTTGCAGTATGGAAATGGGAAATGAGTATTGTATTGAGAGACACCCTTAAAAGTAATCTACTCCAGGGAAGAGTAATCAACACAGTAAAGCCTGTCCAGTTTACGGGATGTTGGTGAGATTGAGGTCAATGAACCTCACCCCACCCCCTGTGAGTCCTGGAGGTCTTTTATCTTTATGTATAGTTTGGTTTCTCCGTGTTCTGCTTTTCTCCCTTCCCTTTATGTCTTTGGGAACAAGCAATGTAAATGCTTTGAAATATTTACATGAAGAGTTGTTTACTACGACTTATGTTACGGTGTGTTGGGTAAGCGCTACCTTGATTAGAGTTCCTTTCAAAGGGCATCCATGGTGCGTCATCCTTACCCCCCCCCCAACCCTTTTTCTTCTTTAGGGAAGTGGAGTGGGTGACTCTTTGTGGGGGAGGTGACTGGCCACCACCTCTCCAAAGGCCATCAGTTCCTTTGCCATTGTTTGGTGAGCTGTTAGGCTTTGAAAGGTCTGTGGGGGTGGCCAGCCAGTAGGACTCCTTTACCTTCCATGGGCTAGGAAAGGAGGCAGTAGCAGCGACTTCCAATTTCCACACTTGGAAGGATTTGAGATCAGAGAGAGTCGAATCCCCAGGCTTCCTGGTGGTATCTTCCTTATGCCCCCAACTCCTTTCTTTCTGTAAGGGGGTGAGTGGTTCTTTGTGGGGCGGTGGGGGTGGCCAGCCAGTGGGACCTCTTTGCCCACTGTGTTCGGCTACTGGTTTTTGGTTGTTGATGAGTTTATGTTTTTATGATGTTTTATACTTTTTTTCTTTTTCTACATGTGTCTAATTTATTGTAATACAATGTATTTTGGTGCTATATTTTAATTTTGTTTTACTTGGCTTGGTCCCCATGTAAGCCACCTCAAGTCCCTTTGGGGAGGTGGGTTGGAATATAAAAATGAAGTTACTATTGTATTATTATTCCAGGGGGTAGGAAAACAGGAAGTAGCAGCAAGTTCCAATTTCCATACTTGGAAGATTTGGGACCAGAGAGTCTCAGACTCCTGGGCGTTCTGGGGATGTCCTTTTTATACCCCCAACACCTTTCCTTCTTTAAGGGGGTTAGTGGGTCTTTGTGGGGTGTTAGGGGAGGCCAGCCAGTGGGACCCCTTTGCCTTCCAGGAGCAAGGAAACCTGGCAATAACTGTGACACCCAATTCCCATACTTGGAAAGATTTGGGAACCAAAGTGTCTCGGACCCCCAGACATCCTGAGAGTGTCCTCTGTCAGAGATATTAAAAATTAACTGGGTATTTTTATTACAAGTACTGAAAGAGTCAGTACGCTGAAACCTGTAAGAGTTAGTGGGCCAAAACTAGCGTTGCCCTGAGGAGAGCGAACAGGTCAAAGCCTGTTAGTGTTAGTTTGTCTCAGTGAGGGAACTCATCAGTCTGTTTGATAAGCTTTGGTGAAAGAAGCCCCAGGTTAAATGCCTCGTGTTTACTGCTGCATGTATAGATACTATGTATTAGTTTATTTGTGTCATAGAAACCTTGTTATTGTAAATAGTTCAACTATATTATTTTACTACAAAGAAAAGCCTTCTATGGAAGAGGTAACATTGGTCTTTTTGTTTTTGTTCTTTTTATCACTTTGGGTTACTGGTGCTGGGTCATGCTGTTGCTGATATGAGGAGGGTCTTTTGTTAATAAGCTCACTCACCCAACAAAGGTTATGGGCCCGGTATAACCCAGTATAGACCAATAGAGACCATATTGAGGCTAAAGAAATAGAAATATGGCAATGGCATTTCAAGCAAATGGATTGCCTTTTGAAAGATTGAATACCAGCAATTATGCCACATGGTAATTTAAAATGAAAAATCTTTTATAAAGAGATACAATTTGTGGAAAGTAGTGGAGAATCTATGTTCGTGAACTTGGAAGAAAGGGGCATGTTTTACAATGAAGAAAACAAAGCTTATATTTTGATTTCTTCATTATCCAAAGATTTAGACAACTTTTGTTATGTTATGCAAAATGTGGATAATAAGGATTTATCCCTTGACTATGTGCCTTCAGGGCTTTTGGAGCAGGAAAGGAGGGTAAATTTTGAGTCATCCTGCAAAGAAGACAATTGAGTTGCTACTACAAGAAAAGTTAGTGAAGCTGTGAGTATCCAGGATTACACAAGAGTGTTCAATATAAGAAAATACTTCGGGTGTGGAGCTATAAATCACCTCATTAAGGATTGCCCCAGAAAATAAAAAGAAGAAAAGAGAAACCACCAAGGCTTCGAAAGGTAACAAGAAAGAAATGGCTACCGCAATGCATTTACTGTGCTGATGGAAGTTGCCAGGAGTGAAAGAAAATGGCTTCTTGATTCAGCTAGTTCTGAACATATAGTAAATTCTATGGAGTTGCTGTTTGATAAAAGGAAGACCAGAACTGGTAATATTGTTCTGGCAAATGGAGCTCATGAAAAATGCAATTGGATTGGTAACGTGTATTTTCCGTTTCTGGAAAAATGTGAACAATGTTTCATGTGTACCAGAAGTAAAATTAAGCACAGCCAGGTTAACTCAAGATGGGCACAAAATCGAGTTAAACGCACAAGGGTGTAAAGTATGTGCAGAGGGTGCAGTTCATGAAAAATTATATGTTGGAATGTTATGTTGGATAAAGAAAGAAAATGTGTTAAATGTTACCAATACTGAAAATGTTCCAATGCGTTTTGCCCAAGATGGTGATGAGACAGCAGCCTCTCATGTCATCCTTGGAGGTAACAACTAATCTGAAGCAATCCTCCCAGCCACCTCACTATCCCTCCTGCCTCAACTGGTTGCCTTTATTGGTCTCCTGGGTCCTTGTTGAAGGCTTTGGGGGCCTGATTAGACCTGATGTGGGGGGTGCTGTTTGAGGACAGAGGAGAGAAGAACAGGAGAAAAAGAAGGCAAGATTGAGCACCGCCACCATTCCACCACGGCTGGAGTGCTCCCAACACATTGCCCCAAATAAAACAGTGTAAGAGAGACTGATGAGATATAACATCTGGACTTGATTCTGTCTCCTACTGCTCAACAATTACTCTGACATCAACAGAAACCTGAGTTGCTCGTTCTTAAGTCATCCTCGGAAGTAAGAACTATTCCAAAGCAGTCCTCCCCCCTCTCCCCCGATCCTTCCTGCCTCAACTGTTTGGGAGTGCTGTTTGAGGAAGGGGAGAGAAGAATGGAGAAGAGGGAGGCAAGGTTGAGCGCTGCCACCATTCCATCATGGCTGGAGTACTCCCAACACATTGCCCCAAATAAAAGAGACTGATGAGATATATCTGGACTTGATTCTGTCTCCTGTTGTTTAACAACTACACTGAC